TCGCCAATTCGTTTAGTATTTACCAGTTTGACAATTATAGTGGCATTATAAGAAAACGCGAGGTATCAGCAAACTCAAGCAACTTAAGAATTACTAAAATGAGTATCCCGCTCGTCGGTATTGTACAAGAATTTTCATAATTTCTGGCACTAGGAGGCGATAGGTGCTCTTTCAAAATGATTTTGAAAAAGGTTGGTGAGCTTGATGTAGCATAAAATGGTGCATTTTATAGCCAGGAAGATGATTCGAGCCAATTAATGAAAAGACCAACATTCCTGATTTATGGCAAATGTCAAGGAATCAGAACAGCCTTCAGCTTGTTTCTGAAATAGCTTCGGAAAAAGGAAGCATTTAATGAAGTAGCGGCTTTTTGCTGCCGGTACAGCACTACAAGACGGTTCACTCTCTAAGTCCACTACTTCTTAAAAAGAGCGAAATATGAAAGGAATTATAGATTTAAATGAAAATGCTTTGAACACTTTCTGAGCTGGATAGTGGAGAGCTGCTTTACAATCATTATATCAAGGACGAGGAACAATTCGAAAAATATTGCGAAGCCATTACTGTTTTTAGACGATAGCTTGTGGATAGGTGCAAATTCATCAGAGCAAAACCACGTGACTAAGTACGAACTTAAAATCTCAAATGGAGATCTCCAGTGAATTCGTACAAACGTTCACACAGTAAAACTTGTGAGTGCTGCAGGATGTATAAGTGGATGTAGAACTCGAAATGCTTAAGTGTGAGGGATTTAGCGACTAGAGAAAACAGTGACCGCGAAAAAGGCAATTTCAATACTTTGCCCCTTCATTCTGTCTTTCGGGATGCACGATTCTGCTGGCAAATCGGTCTCTTTACATACCAACTGACGTTCGGCTGAATTAGCGCACATGTAATTCGACGCATCGATGCAATGGCCGTACGGAGAGTACCAATGCGTCTCATCGACTGGGTCAGCAATCTGTAACATTAGAATAATTTTTACAAAAAAAAGAAATTAGAATAGCGGGGAAGAGAACGGCAGTCTTTTTTATGTATACTAAGAATACTCAAACTACCAGAGCGATCAGTGTGAAGATGATATGTTGGCCCGCTATTACTCTCACACAGTGATGGAGTGCAAGCATTGAATTTTTTGCGACGGCTTTCACGCATATGTATATGTGCCTTCTAACTGGTGAGGTTCTAGGAGGGCAGCGTTTGGAATGAACGATATAGCGATCCCCACACGTGTTAAAAACAAAAATCTTGAAACGGCTAAAGCTTGTCCAAATGTTTCTTCGGGAAAACCATTAAGCTGATGCCTTATTTAGGCGACAAAAAGCACGTCAAGGCAGAAAGAAGCTGACCATAAAAGACGATGCAATTTCCATCAAAGCAACTGGAAAAGCTACCGACTGAATGAATGGAGTATCATATTATGTATTAGTAGCTGCTAGAGGTAAACATGTGCCAGTCAAGGCTAAACGGTAATAAGTGAGGAAAAGTACCGTGGCATTGGCCATCCTCATGCGCAGCTGTTCGGTAACAGTCTGATCGTCCGATCGAACTGTAAAATAAGATCTCAGATGCAATGGAAAGTGTTTTTGAGCCACATTTATAATAGTGTGAAAGTTGCCAAGAAATAAAGAAAACCTGCCAAAAAACGAGGACTGGAACGGCAAACTAGTCCACATGGATGTTGGGTGATAGTAACAGTAACAAACACGTGTTGGCCTGCTTGTTCACATCCAGGAATGTCCGCAAAGTTGCAAAAAAGGAAAGCAGTAGACTCGCTTGAAATGCCCAAAGTGCTGCTTGCGCAGAATGGGAAGGGACATCTAGGCAATGTGCATTTCGACGTTAGCCCAATTCTCTGAACGCCGTCGCCAGCTTGGTTGGAATAGCAAAAGAATTTACCGGAATCGCGCTGAGAATAAACGTCGGAGAAGGGCTGTTGAGCTATTGAAGCTGTTGTTCGTTTCGTGTTAGACATTGCCGCTCTGCAATCGTATCGTCGTCTAATAGAACTAAATTCATTTTTTTGGATATGTTAGTGAGTAACTGAGGATCGCTCCTTGTTCTACCCATGCGTGCCAAGACCTTTCAAATGAGACGAAGAAATTGACAATTAGATGAGAGAACGCAAAATTGGCCATGGAGGAGAGGGAGAAGATTCAGACAGAGCAGCTGCAGAAGTTAACCAGAGAAGCGCTAAATTCATCTCGAAGACAGCAAAAAGTTGCAAAAAAAAACCCAGGCTGGAACGCACCAGGTAGGCCGGTGCGATTATGCGTTTTTGCGCTTCCCGTGCCGTAGCAAGATCGCAAGGAACCGCAGTAGCTAATCCTGTACATACTGGCCCTCGATGTACTGGTGTAGACTTCAGTGACCCGGCAAATGGAAAGGTGCTGGTCCGCAAAAAAGGCCACACTAGAAGAGTTAAATTTGAAATCTTTTAGCTGCACATAAGTAGGGAACACTCCCTTAAAATTCAAGCCTTCAGCTTATCTTGTTACCGAATTGGCAGTTTTCCCACCAAAATTTCCACTTGTCCGTACGTGATTACCGAACGGTTTTAAGGAGCTGAATTTAAAATCTTTTGGTCATACATGAGTAGGGAACATTATCCTAAAGTTTCAACCTTCTAGCTTTTTTCGTTCCCGGGTTAGTAATTTTCGCGCCAAAACTCCCATGTGCCTGTACGTGGGCCCCCGGTGCTTCTAAGCACCTAATTTTGCTCGTACATGAGTAGGGAACATTCCCCTAAAGTTTCAGCTTTCTAGCCTCTCACGTTCTCGGGTTAGTGATTCTCGCGCCGAAATTTCCACGCGCTCGTATGTGGGCCCCGGGCGGTTATAAACACCTGAATTTGCTCGTACATGAGTAGAGAACATTTCCTTAAAGTTTCAGCCTTCTAGCTCTTCCCGTTCCTGGATTAGTAAATTTCGCGCCAAAATTTCCACGCGCTCGTATGTGGGCCACGAGCGCCCCTAAACAACTGATTTTGCTCGTACAT